TGGAGAAGAGTGCTGAGGATTCCATGGACAGCCAAAATGACAAACAAAAGGGTCCTAGAGCAGATCAAGCTGGAAAACTCCCTTGAAGTCAAGATGACCAAACTGAGACTGTCATAGTTTGGACACATCATTAGAAGGGAGGACTCTTTGGAAAAAACAATGCTGTGAAATGTGGAGGGAAGTAGGAAGAAAGGCTGCTAGATGGATGGACCCTATTAAGGAGGTCACAGGTATTAAGGGATTTCAGGATTTAAGCAGAGCAGTGGAGGACAGAGAGTCTTGGAGATGTCTCATCCATAGAGTCTCCATGAGTTGAGATCAACTCAAGGGCAGTTAACAACAAAGAGATCGATTTATTGAAACAGTATTTTTATTATTAACTGCTTGGTGCAGTTTTAACTCTCTCCATGCTATTCTTCTCCTTATTATGTTTTAAATGCTTTAAATTACTTTAAATCAATGCTATTTTTTTAACAGGACAGTTTATTTAAGAGTTATTTATTATTATAGTTAGTTTTTAAGTTAGATTTTATTTTAAACTGACTTGTCTTTGGTCTCCTATTTGGAGAAAGGTGGGAAAATAGGTAAGTAAAGGCCTGTACAGACTGGACAAAAGGGCTGGCCTGGGGGTGGAGTTGGGTTGGGGTGACTGCATGCTGGCTGCCCTGACTCTGCCCTGATGCTGCTGTCATGCCATGTACCCCACCACATGGCATGCAGCATACAGACACACTGTGTTAAAGGAGAGCAGAAGAGCTACGGCAGTGGTAAGGGCGACTTTTTGCCGCTTCAAAGTGCTGGATCAGAGCTGTGGCATGAGGTTGCTGCGGCCCTGATCTGGCGCTCCCAGGGGCAGCACAGAGCTGCCCCTTAGGGGCCATTTGTATAGCCCCTAAGTAAGTTTACCTTGCCTTGTTTGCTGCACATATGTATAGAAACATCTATTGCTCATTGTAGCCAGATGCTGATAACAGAAGCTGTAAAATTTAACAGAAGAAATAACATTGACTGGCTGAAAGGTTTTGGCTTTTGGGACATACAAAATCCTGTTTTTGTTTGATTTGTCCATTCATCATTTTGGCAAGTCACTTTGTGACTGAGATATTAGAATGAAATTTCTTTCACATATTCAGGGCCCAGTTATCTGTTATAGGTTCAAATATTACTTTAACCCATAGGGAAGAAAACAGACAATGCAGTTTACTATTATACTAGCTCTCTTTTACAAGCAGAAATCAGGACAGGCTACTTAAGTTTTGTTGTTGTTGTTGTGTGCCTTCAAGTTGATTCTGACTTATGGCAACCTTAAGGCAAACCTATTATAGGGCTTTCTTGGCAATATTTGTTTAGAGGTTTACATTGTTTTCCCTTGAGACTGAGAGTGTGACTTGCCTAAGGTCACGCTATGGGTTTCATGGCCAAGTTAGGAATTGAACCCTGGTCTCCATAGTTGTAGTCCTACACTCACACCACTACACCACACTGGCTCTCTACTTAATAACTGATTTAGCATACTGGTCAATGATTTTAAATACTTTTGAGAAATGGGAAAACGAAGAGTTACTAAAAAAATTAACTGCTTTTTTGTGTTGAGCAAGTCACCATAATTAATTGCTTTTCAGAGATAAATTTCCAATTTAATATCAAAATAGCTCAATTCATAACTCAACTGCATATACAACCCTAAGCTTATCCATCACTATTCCTGAATAAATTATACTTCCTATTCCAAAGTTTGAGAAAAAAAGACAGAGTAGTGGCCCTTCCCACTAGAAAAGAGGAAGATAGTGTTCTTCCCCAACCCAGAAGAAGGAAGGGGACATAACCGTAGTTCCCAATATCATGCCAGAAGCCAGCTGTACTAGACAGAGTGTAGAGTTTGCATGTCTTTCCTGCATGACAGGGGACTGGACTGGATGGCCTTGAAGTCTCTTTCAACTCTATGATTCTATCGACTTTATTACACAAGGAAAACTGGGTGGTGGGGGAAATCAGGGGTTTAAAAAGCCATTATCCCGCCATTATCCCACGATCAGGTGAAAGATTTTCACACAGCGTTGCAATTAAAGAGTCATTATTCTGGCAATCAACAGGCAATAAACAGCAACAAATCATTCATGACCCCATGAATGATTTTTTGCTGTTTATTTCCTGTTTATTGCCTGGAACCCTAGGCACAGTGGATCTTTAATTGTGATGTGTGTGAAAATCTTTCACTCGATCACGGGATAATAGCAGGATAATGGTTCTTTAAACCCCTGATTTTCCCTGTGTGATAAAGTCCTATGATTGCCAGGTTAGGACTAAACCAGGCCATAAGATTTCAGGGTCAAAATCTGAAACCTAGGGATGATGTCTTATGATACCACAGTGGGTGGGTCCTTGTGACATAAGAGGAGTGCTGTTACAAGGGACAGCCTGTTGTGATGTTATTGAGCATCATGACTAAATATCAACCCAGTTGTTCTAAGTGTGCCATTCAAATAAAAAATAACAGGTCAAACAAAGAAGGAACACACACACACTTTTTAAGGCAGTGCCCTTTCTCACAGATTCCTCCCCCTTGCCATGAGAAGAGGTTCCAGGTCCTAAAATCCAGGACCAGCCCTAGGCACAGTGGATCTGCAAGGATGCCATGGTTACACCCTTCTTGTTCTTGGAGCACTGTTGCTGCAACCCTTCCTTTTTCTAGGGATGTAGAAAAAGCATGTATGGTTTCTCACCTGTGTGCACTGTGAGAATCATAGCATTATAGAGTTGGAAGAGACCACAAGGGCCCTCTAGTCCAGCGCCCTGCCATGAAAGAAAACACAATCAAAGCACCCCTGACAGACGGCCATCCAGCCTTTGTTTAAAAACCTCAAAAGAAGAAGATACGCCATACTTTGAGGCAGTGTGTTCCACTACTGAACAGCTCTTACTGTCAATAAGTTCTTCCTAATATTGAGGTGGAATCTCTTTTGCTTTGTGTCCTAGTCCTTGGAGCAGCAGAAAACATGCTTGGTTCATCTTCAGTATGACATCCCATCACATATTTAAGCAGGGGCCCTGCCAGAATTAGGTGTTGCAGTGAATTTGATGCTTCTGATGCCCCACCCAATCTAATGACAGTGCTGTCCCTGTAAACCCCTGGCCATTTCAAAAACAAAGCAGAGGGTTTTTTTATTTTTAAAACCCTATTTCTTTTTATCACCATAGCTGATGCCAGAAACGAATGCAGTGCAGGAGTCTTTGGTGAACTGCAACCACATCTAACACACTCCACATTTTCAGACTTCTTGAATGCAGACCTTCTAAAGAGATCAAGGAGCTGGAGTTATCACTCTCTGCAGCTTCCAGATTAGTCCAAAATGGAGCTCATTATAATGGAGGAGTCTGAATGAAAACTTGTGAGGTCTGCATTAGATTTGAGATTAATGACTGCAGCCTTCTGGCTAGGCTGTAGACTGCAAATCTACAATCAAATAGGGTCTCATGTTCATTATCTATCCTAACTAGTAGATCTAGTTAACCTTTGACTTTTCTTTCTTAAACACAACTCCTATAATGTATCTCCTGCTAGAACTGATTTTCCTGTTTCTCAGTCTCTTTTTTTTCATTTGGATTCTCTTTCTGCTATTTATTAATTTGCCCTTCCTTTCAAGGACTGACATATCTTGCAAGTATCCAAGACTATTAGGAAGATCCCTTTATTTTTAAGGAGACACTCAGGTCCTCTTCACATTGTCAGCATTTCTTAATTTCTACCTCAGTCACATGATCCAGACATGTGAGCAACAATAATTCATGCTTAGTTCAAAACACACACACACCATGCAGAAACATCTATGAAAATCAGATTATTAATTAGATTGGATCAGATCAATGCCTAGCATTTGCTGTTGTTGTTGTGATACCTTTAAGTCTATTCCAACTAATGGTGACTTTATTCTAAGATTTTCTTGGGAGGATTTATTTAGAGGAGGTTTGTCATTGTCTTGTTCTAAGTTTGAGAGGTGCAACCCAGTGAAATTCCATGGCTGAGCAGGGATTCAAACCCTGGTCTCCTGAATTCCTAGTCAGACACTCAAACCACTAGGCCAGGCTGGCAATAAACAAAAAGATTTATTCAGAGAAGACTTTCTATTGCCTTCCTCTAAGCCTGAGAGAGTATGACTTGCCCAAGGTCACTCAATGAGTTCCCATGGCTGAGGAGGGATTTGAACCCTGGTTTCTAAGGTTCCCACTCCAACATTCAAGGCACTATATCATACTGACTTACACTCTAGTGTTTTTCTTATACAGATGATGTATCCTACTTCATAGAGGAAGCTCTGTTCATTCATGGTACATTTTGTTTGCCTAACTATTATGCAGTTCAAGTCCACATTAAAAATAAAGAACTATGTGAAGGAAGAACAGGAGTCCTGAGGTGGTCTCTCAGTACTTAGCAGCCTGAACAGGTATAAAGATCACCTGGTTGTAAGCTTCCTCATCCTAACCAGATGTGTTTCATTTTGATTTAAAGTAGAAAAGAATTTCAATTAGCACATACACATTTGCCATTGAAGGAAGGCACCACGAAGAATAACCACAATACACCCAATTGGAAGAAAAAAGGCCACAACTTTATTGCATACAGCTGAAAAGGTAACGTTGACCCAAAACGCATGAGCTCTGGATCTGGCATCAACTAACCCATTGCTGATCGATGAACCAACTTACCTGGTCACATCCAGGATTCGGGATGAATCGTATGTTCTTAATTGTATGTTCACATCTCAAGTAACCAGTTGAACATATGTCCACATCTCTAGCCCTTGTCACTGGAGCCCTTGTCGCTCTCAGCACCCCGTGTCCCTGATGGACTACCTATCCAGTGCTCTTCAGCACAGGAAACCATGCCCACCAGATCCAAGACCCATGCTACAACCACAAAAGGCCGGGCCCACTCCTAGGGCCCACCTTCCACCAACCCCTGAAAGCTGTATCCCACCCTGTAAGGGGGTCCCCCCAGAACCCTCAGGGCAGCTCCAAACAAAAGTCAATTCTCAGCAAATGTAGCCAGGAAATGCCCCAGATTTCCACCTGGCCAGACTCTTTATAGAGTCCACCAGCAAGCTGCATCCCACCGCAGTCGTGGCAGCCCCAATGCAGAAAGAGTGACTACCAAAGTCTTCTGCTGGAAGCCCTGCACACTGTAAAGCAAAACAAAGTATCAACACCACTTGGAACCATGTCAGTGGGGTGCCATCTTTGTGAGTGAACAGAGGACCTTCTGTCTGAGGACAGGATGCTATGTATCTGCATAGCATCCAAATAGGGCACAGGTGGCAGATGTATAGCCTTCTCAGCACGATGGAGGACCCCTTGCCAAACTAATCACCAAACTTGACCTGTGAAGAACTAGACAAACAATGTTCCCCACAAAAGAAACATCCTCTCTCTGGAGTGCACGTTTTGAGCTGTCCTTGGAAGAAGGCACAAGCTCACTGATCCACAATGCCCCAAAGAAGGCAGTTACAAAGGCGGCTCTGAAAAGGTTAGCCTTGGCTCTGGAATCACAGACCTTACCAAGCTGTGTGCAGAGTCTGCAAAGGACCTTGTAGCAAATGGGTCTCTGGCCATCCGCCCTACCCACAGATGTCCTTTTCCAGCCCTCCAATACCCTCCTGACAAGGAAAGATGAACATGGGTCACAAACCCCCCAGCTTTAGAGAAGAAGGAAATACTGGCCAAGTGGACTGCTATGGTCTGGGGTGCGATCCCAGTTTCCCTCAAGCAGACCAGGAATTGCAGAACAGTATGGGATCATACTGGCCAGTGGGCCCAAAGGCTGGTCACCCCAAAGACGGTGTACAGCTTAGAACAGCTCTCCTGTAGGCACTTCAGGCAATTTCCAACCTCCCACAGTTCCTCTGGGAAGGGCGTGGGTGAGGGGTCTGATTCAGGTGCCAATTGATGGAACCTGGCCTCCTGAAAACAAGAGACAGTGTCTGCAATGTTATTCTCCAAGCCAGGCACAAAATGAGCCTTGAATGTGATGTTCTTTTGGAGACACAGTAGAACAAAAGGGTGAACCAGGAGTATGACTGCCATGGGGCCGGCTTGCTCCCTGATCACTGGCCTGTTCACTGCAGCCTTCCAGTCCTATCTGACCATGTGGGTCTTAAGGCCCTGAACAGTGGTCCCTCAGCCCTCGGCTGCCTGATTCTGCCTGGTCCTTCTGCCCTCTAGCTGAGCAGGAAAGACAAGGTGGTCCTGTAATGGCTGAGAGCCAAGCTAGAATGGTGCCATCATCCTGCGCCATGTGGCCTTAAATAGGCCCATCCTCCAATCAAATTGCTTCCAGCCACCCTGACCAATCCAGCTGATATCTTGACCCTGTACCAACCAATGGGGTGGCACTTCCACCCCTGTTGCATGCTGGGAGTTGTAGTCTGGCATTGGGCCAGAAGCACCGCCTTCCCCGACCCAGCCAGCCAATCTGGGCCTCACCATCCCAAACTAATGCCTGATGGGACAGTGCTGGGGCCAGAAGGACCAGTGCAGTATGACAGCTTCCCCCTCATGGCAACCAGGCTGACTCGGTGAGTCAGGCGGCCTCATTTCATGCAGATTGGTTTCCTATCCTTGCCTTCTTTTTAATATTTTCATGGCACATCTCCATATTTTTGGAAGGTGGAAGATCTACTGGAAGGTACTGGATTAGATCCAGTGTGCTTGTTTCCAGTAATGGCCTTGACAAATGTCCCCAGCCCCCCCCCCCTCCCGGACTTGACAGGATAACAGCACCCCTCCCTACTCTCTGTTCTTGTATCCAAAAGATTGAAGTCAATACCTAGATAATTGCTTCCTCTGTCTATGGAGATTCAATTTGGCTTGGGAGAGATCTTGTGGAGCTCCCCCATGTGAAAAGGACTCCTCTGGTACATCTTACTTCCTCCATCTTTTCAAGTTAAATCTTTTCTGCTGTGAGAAGTCAAAGCTAGTCTGGTGTGGAAATGAAGAACAAAAGAAGTGAGGTATGGAACTTAATTTTTCCCCATGGGTGATAACAGATTTCCCTGTTAATGTAAATAGACAAGGGCCTCTGATTCTAAATAGGATGGGAAATATTTGTTGAAGTGCCAATAGGGAAGGATAATGAAATAAATAAATATCTAATATATAAATGAAATAAATAAATAAAAATAATGGAAGCTGCATTCCAGCAACACCTCTGTTTGAAGTCAATTCCTCAAAAGTGACAAACTGTTCACCCTCTTCCTTTGCCTGTACTGAAGTTTTTAACTGATAGAAGCTTCCCTAACGGCTTTTATTTACTTGATAAAAAACAAAAACTGACCATACTCCCACACTGTATGAAAAACATTCCTACTCTTTTGGCTTTCAATTTCTCTCAAAGTCAGTGAGGAAAGGAGATGAAGAAGACCCAAATATGTTCTTTCTGGCAGCAGCCATGCATCTGACAAAATGTCTGGTTTCCTCTTTAATAAAACCCATGTTTTGTTGTTTGATGACTGGACATTAGACATGTCCCAATGAGGGGAAAATATGTCTGGGTTAACATCAGAAGATTGAGAAAACTCTTGTCCACAATCCCTGATATGTAGTAACCATTTTGCTCTTCTAACTTGCTGCTGCTGTCATTGGGAGCAATGCATATAGACTGTTGATAGTGGCCAGTAACCTATAGACAGGCCAGTTTCTGTGCAACCAAATTCTGAAACTGCTCTTTAACCTACACATTTCAAATACAGTGAGTCCATGATTTGCTGTTCAAATGTTCATCATTTAACCTCACTCACATCAGTGATGGTGTAGAGGATCAAAATCCTTACCATGTGTTGAGCACATGGTCAAAAATATGTGTAACTCTTGCCATCTTCCTTTGTATGCTTCTAATTATGGCTTGAAAGAGAGAGGAGGGGAGAGGAAGGGTGGGAGAATATGAGTGTGTAAGAAAGCCAGACTGTTAATTGGGGGTGCGTATCAATGCAAATCTTTCCTCTCCATCTAAGATTCTTCTTTCTCCACTTCATCTTTCTCTCTTTTGTGCATTTCACCACTTATTGGGAAGTCCAAATCATTTTCATTTGTTATATAATATTTACTCCTCACACACTGCACCATTGAGTTGGCTCTCTTCCTGGGCAATGTAAATGAAGGAGCTGATGGAGAAAGGAGAGGATGGTAAACAAAGGCTAGACAAATCTATCAGTTTTGCTGTTTCCTGCTTTTCTTTTCTTTTTTTTAAACAAACAAATAACATTTATGTTGTTCAGATATCTGCAAATGTTGATAGGTTTTTTTATCAAAACCCAAAGCAAACCATATTACCTCCACATCCAACTGCACATTCAGTATTTATGCTATTGCCATAAAGAGGATCATGTTGTAGTACTTCCTTGGCTTACCAGGGCTGTGGAGTCAGAGTCAGAAGCAATTTTGGGTGGACTCAAGAGAGTAGGGACATGGTGAAGGGATGCAGTGGCTCAGTGGTTAAGACACTGACTCTGACGATTGCAAGATTGGCAGGTTGGCAGTTTGAGGGCCAGGTGCCATGTGATGGGACCAGTTTCTGTTCAAGGGAAAATATGTCTGAGTTAACATCAGAAGACTGGGGAAACTCTTGTCCATGATCCCATCACTAGTCCCAGCTTCTGTCAACATAGCAGTTTGAAAGCATGTAAAAGTGCAAGTAGATAAATAGATAACAATTTGGTGGGAAAGTAGCAGCATGCTGCTCACGTGATCACAGAGTTGTCTTTGACAATACTGGCTTTTCGGCTTAGTAACAGAGATGAGCAGTGCCCCTACAGTTGGATACGGTTTGACAACATTGTCAAAGGGGAATATTTTTACTTTTTACATAGTTAGTAGAAATATACTGGCTCTGACTCTGGTTCGAAGTAAAAACTTAGGTCCAATCCACACTGAAGAAATAATCTAGTTTGACACCACTTTACCTGCCCTGACTCAGTGCAAGGGAATCCTGGGAATTGTAGTTTATTGTGGCACCAGAGCTCTCTCACAGAGAAGGCTAAATGTCTCACAAAACTACAGTTCCCAGAATTCCCTAGCACTGAGCCAGGGCAATTAAAACA